TCCAACTTCCCAGAAACATTCCTAGTGAGAAACTTAATATTTTTTTTAGCTACAGAAGCACCAAGATGGACCCAGATCTTTGACAAACAAAACCAAACCCGTTGCCGTCAAGTTGATTCCAACTTACAGCAACCCTACAGGATAGAGTAGAACTGCCCCATAAGGTTTACAAGTATGGCTGATAGATTCGAACTGCCAACCTTCTGGTTAACCACTGTGCTACCAGGGCTCCAAGATCTTTGACAGTTCCCTGAATATTCTTAATTATGCCAATAAAAGGTGAGTAGATATATATGTCTCTGGGGAAAGGAGATTTTGTGGCCTTACAAAGATTGTTCTTCCAAATATGCCCCTGGGATGCTGAATTAAACTTACCTAGGGCCAAGGAGGAAATCCTGGTGGCATAGTGGTTAAGAGCTACGGCTGCTAACCAAAAGGTCAGCAGTTTGAATCCACCAGCCACTCCCTGGAAACTCTATGGGGCATTTCTACTCTGTCCTATAGGGTCGCTATGAGTTGGAATCAACTCGACAGCAACGGGTATATATATAGGGCCAAGGATCTTCCAGAAGGAAAGGGATCAAGACCCTACCCTCTGCTCTTTTGATATTCAACTTAAATAGAAGACTCTGAAACCCTTAGATAGCCCTCAGATCCACTGGTAGAAAAAAAAAGTCAAAGGTCTCCTGAGAAGAAAGGGAGAGTCTGGCCTAGTGACTTAGGCTCAACACCAGGGCCTAGAGGTTTGTGGGGGACAGCTTATTCTAGATACAATGTGTGACAGTAGATGGAATCCCAATTGGACTCGACCTCCTTGGCAAAGCTGTCATGTTTGGGGTACAGTGGTTGATTGTGTGGGCATAAACCAGTAAGCTGCTATCATCTTGGGAACATGTGTGGAGTACAACCCCGCTGCCTGTACAGGGTTTTTCAGCAGCAAGGGCATCCTTACAGCAGGGGGCAAGAACACATTGGAATGGAACCTGTCAGAACCAGTTGTCAATAGCAACACCATAAAGAAGTGACGATTAAACTTGGAACCTGTTAATGAGCTGAATCATTCTCTCACACGAAATATTGAAATAAGACTAATCCCTTTGTACTGAGTAAATTCCAAGGGTTCTGGACAACTTGGGGAATGGAAAGTCCCTCAGCAAGAGATATGGAATTACCTACAGTATGGAGTCTTTGAGCACATATGAAAAATGAAGAGTTGAAGCCTAAATTTTGGTCCTAAACTGAAGAAGGAGGTCATAAAATTCTGTTAATATGCCAGTGTTCATTGTGAATCTCCAAGAGCTGCAGTGTTTGTCAAATTTATTTGTCCACTGAGCCTTTTTTTTTCTTCTTTTTTTGAGGGAGTAGGCTCTGAGGAACACTTATTGGAAAACGCTTCTCTAATGACAGATTTTAGATACTAGATCAGGCCAAAGGAGCAGTAAATTTGGGGTAGGGGCCCATTCCTGGCACCCACCGATATGGTTGTTTAACTGTGTCAGAGCAGTCTGGGCCCACCATGCTCTGTTGTTAATTACAATGTTCTAGTACCCCTAACCCAAGGAGGGCTAGTGTGCAGGGGGAAGGTGCTGAAATGGGATCCCACACTTTCCCCTCAGGTCCATCTATCATTTGCCTCTGAATACTGACCACCGTCTCCAATCACTTGTTGATTCCACGAGAGTAGGGATTTCCATCTATTTTATTCTCATACTTGTTCTTGGAGCCTAGAACCGTGCCTGGCACACTTTAGGTGCTCAACTATTTGACGAATGACCGAACGCCTGGGCTATCACTGTCCTGGCAAAGTTACCAAAAATCTAACACCCATTTCTTTTACACAGTTTGTACCATGTGTCTACAGAGCAGGTGTCTAAAGAAGATTCCGGAGTTCTGAGGACCGTAGTGTCCAGAAATTCTTGACTAGGTTTGGTAGCCCCAATCCTAAGCTATAAATGTTAAGTAACAATTGCCTTTCTCAATCAAACGAAGCTCATGTTTTCCTAAGTCAGACCTACCTGGGATGGGGGAAGGGGTCCAATGGAGCCACTTCAAACTCAACAGCTGAACCGCTATCCCCCCAATCTAAGGATGGATGTGCAATGTATTTGACAGTATATTTATGGCAGCATAAGTTATATAAATAAATGTATATAGTTATATAAAGGTATAAAGTCATATGCATAAATGCATTTATATAAACAAAAATTTTAAATGTTTCCTGTTCATTCTCTAACTAAACTAAACTATATATCATGAAATTGCTTACCATGTGATATAACTTGCAAGGCAAAGTGTTCATCAAATCATCCTAACAATTTCTAAATCGTTGTCGATTTTAGAAATTATTGGTGCGATCTCAGGTTTGATAAGTGGTCACTAGACTAAATGCTGCCCGTCCCTAAGCCATGGGTTATGTAGGAAATGGCACCAAACCCTTCCATGACTTCAACATTAAATGACGGCCATTAGATCTGGGGCCAGGCACTGCTGCTGCAGGAGGGTGCCTGAATGGACTGCCCCTCGTATCCTAGATGCTACTGCTTCTCTCATGGTGTGTACCTGGCGAGCCTTTGCTTTCACCCCCACCTACAACACTGCCACCACCCTGGCCTGTCCCACTACTGCTGCCAAGCCTGGGGCCCAGTGGCACTGCCTTCACCCCAGCCACCACTGTGGTCTGCTCAGCTCATGCCTCAGCATCCAAATGCTTGGGACCCACACCTTTACCGCCTCTGAAGTGGCCACTGGGCCACATTGTCAGGTGACTGGTGGTCTAAGAAGCTCTTTACCAACCACCAGGGCAGTGTTGCTGTATTTTCATCGCAGTAACACCATGCTAGTTATGACTAAGGATCAGCCAACCCCTTCTGAGTAGATCAGAGAGTCCCAAAGTCTTCTCTACAATATGCTAGAACAAGGCCATGGTGTTGGTGTCTTCTGTCCCATGCCACCTACCATTTCTTCCTCTGTCTCTTGCCTCCATAGAATTGCTCCCATGTTTATGTGTTGATCCCTGGAAGTAGCTACGGTTTTTGCTTTAGCTCTTGAAGTCACTCGAGTGGTCGCCCTTGCTACTGCCCCATCCCCTCCCACTGGCCTGTGCGGCACACTGTTGCCGAGGCTGCCTGATTCTTATTCTTGAGACTTCTTCTTTACTACAGCCCTGAGTGTCTGGGTGGCCAAATCAGACAACAACAGGAGTGCCATACCACACCCAAGTGACTGTTGCCTCGTAGCTCACCATTTTCTGGATTAAGACTGCATTTTGGCAATCCTTCCCTGGTAATTTTTTTTCCCTCGTAGTTCAGGAGCTCAAGAAGAGGTCTTTCACCCCAGTGGTGTAGGGAAATTGTTCTCAGCATGGCTGGGTATCAGAATCAGCCAGCTGAGAGGGATCAAGGCACGAAGACTGTGAAAACTCCATAGGTGAATTGGATCTGCACCCAGGATTGAGACCCTTTAGCTTAAGGGTCTGTTTTAGGAGAGGCAAATACTCAGTCTTCCCGTCCATCTGTCAGGCTTATTCTGTTGGATCTACTGGCATGCCTCAATGGGATGCCTCCTTAGGAAATTCATAAACAGCTTAGGTTGTTGCTCTGGGGCTCCAGCCACTTCTGTGGACTGCTCCTGTGAACACTAATGTGCAGTTTCCATAACTTGCATTTCAAAATAATTAATAAACAAACAAAAAACAACAACAACAAAAAAAAAGAAAAACAACAACCTGACATCACTTGGAAACCACTTTTAGTTGCTTCATTTCCTGGAGCCTACAACTGGCAAGATGCTGAGGACAAGATGTATTCAATTCAAATCAAAGCCAGGTTGTGTCAGGAGAAGCAGATGGCCCACCTAAGGTGAAAAAATTACTTTCTTGAGGGCAGGGTGGTTTATTCACCTCTTCCTCCAGAAGGATGGAACTGTGTATGGGCGAAACAAATAAAACACATTACACGCATTCCGCAGATGAACAGAATAGTGGATGCTGAGCAAGGCTCCGGAAAGCATCTTCCTGCCTCCAGGCAGACCGTGAGAATTTGTTGCACACGTATATTAAAGTGCCCTCAGAACTTGAAATTCATTCTATCAGGACATAATTGAAGAGACTAACCATCAGTAACCCCTACAAGAGCTGGTAATGAGGGGCTCAGAAGATTGGCGATTACCCCAGGATAGTGAAGATGAGCTGAATATAGGGTCAGAAAAATAAGACTGAACGTAAAACAAAACAGTGATGGTTGTGCTCTGCATCTGACAAAAAATGGGATTAATGGGAGTGGAGGCGTGGTACGGAATTGGGTCAGTTTGGAAAAGGGAAGATGAGGCAGTAGAGATATTGTTGCTGGTTATCTAACACTTTCCAGAGGAGAGACAATTTTCCTGGACATTACTAGTGTTTAGCTCACTTGGAAAGTACATTCCACCCAGAAGGCTTTTCCAATACTCAGATGAAACACCCCTGTTTGACCAGCAACATTCTGATTATGCATTTAATCTCCCAAGTACCTTGATAATGGGCAGGATGTACCTTGGATTGAGGACACAAGTTTTGAGGTCACCGGAAAGGTTTACTGCGCCCCTGTTACAAATAAATTTGTGTTCTGTTTGGTATGTCCATCTCTCGAGAGTTTGGTTAGCGTAGGTTAGTTGGGCAGCCTATTTGCCCAACAGCATAGGCAAATCCACTCATTGGCCCTGCACAGCTGAGCCATAGCCCAGAGCACCGTGACCACTCCCACCCGGCGTGGTCCTGTGAGGCCCCACCCAAGCAGCCCCTGGCCTTCTTCCCTGACATCTGTGTCTCTCTTTAAATTCAACACACACCGTCCCAGAAAGTCATCTTCCTGCTGGTTTCTTTAAAGTCAGCAGAGGATACTTCTAAATTACCTTCTCGGTAATGCATTCTAGTGTCTCATGGCCTAGCTCTGAACCTGAGCAAACAAGTTACATGATCTGTAATCACACTGTGACTGTACAGTTTCACCAATGAGCACACTTACGGATTCCTGTGGTCCCTGCTGTCCTCTTCATCTCTAGAGGGTGGGCCGTGGTGAGGCCACGGAATGATGTAGGAGGGTTCTTACGTGCTTTAGCAAGGAGAGGAAGAACTGCTCCACCAAACACAGTTCCTACCCAGTCTCCCTCGGGCCCTTTGATTAAGTAACTTGAAAGGTGGAGTAATTCGGGTTAAATGAAGAAAGGGTAGGGTGTTATCCTCAGGAGCAGAACTAGATGGAATGGCCTTCTATCAGCTTTGCCCACAGCGGCTGCGGGCAAGTGAAAGGCTTTGCCCACTTTTCTCCAATCAGAACATGAGGTTTTGTGGCTTGCCCTGGGGTTCTCTTCCCTGACTCTTGAAAAGGTGGGGCATCACCATTTCAACTCTTCTCGCTTGACTGCCTCCTTCCTAGGAAGTAAATGGTTGACACCATGCGCCCGTTGGTAGCTATTGTCCAGTTGTTGATTTGTTGTCGGACATTTGTCCATTGGTCTTTTGGTGAACAATGTTGTTGTTAGGTAACACCGAGTCGGCGCTGACTCAGCCACCCTGTGTACCACGGAATGAAACACTGCCTGGTCCTGCTCTATGCTCACAATCCTTGTTACGCTTGAGCCCATTGTTGCAGCCATTGTGTCAGTCCATCTCATTGAGGGTCTTCCTCTTTTTCACTGACCCTTTACCAAGCATGATGTTCTTCTCCAGGGACTGGTCCCTCATGATAACATGTCCAAAGTATATGAGACGTAGTCTCGCCATCCTTGCTTCTAAGGAGCATTCTGGTTGTACGTCTTCCAATAGTTTTTGCCTATTTCCCGAATGAGATGGAAGCAGCAGGGACCCAACTCTAGAAATTATCTACCCACCTGAATCCCCAAAATTGCGCTGTATCCATTGAAAAGAGCAAATTATCTTCCTTTTAAATGCAAAATGAAAATATTAGTATTGCAAAGACTTATTTTACAGAGTTGTAAAAAAAGACTAAGAATGATAACTATTGTGAAAATCCTCTCAAAATGGCCATATCATAAATAAGATAGTAGATACATTCACTGCAAACCAAGATTTATAAAGTACTGTGAGGTGGCAAGATGGGGTTACAATTCAACATGTTTATTGCTGTCACGGGCTGTGGCTACTCTCTTGTGAAGCAAGGTGTCAGTTGGCCAGAGATTGAGTAATGACAGCAGAGAGCATTGTGTAACTCCTTCCTCTTTATTTCCTGTGGACCAGTGGGTATCCTATGTCTCAAGCTGTAGGCCAGCTTAATAGGTTCCAGTTTTGAGTATCTCCCATCACAAGAGCTCAGTAACTCTTGCAAAAGTAGCCACAAATACTCGTGACCACTAGATCTGTCTCTGTGCTGATGTTGAATGTGACAGATTCACATACGAGCAAGCTAATAGCCTTTCCATTACAGACAAAGAAAACTGACATTTACATAGGCTTGCTATGAGTCGGAACCAACTCAACAGCACCTAACAGCAGCAAGAGCTGTACTACCTTTATTTCTCATGGCAAATATGTGAGATGGGAGCTATTCTCCCTATGTTATGGATGGGATCGAGGCTCGCAGACATGAAGTAATTTGTCCAAGGCAACAGAGCACCTAAAAAGCCTGAAATAAACATTCTCTTCTGGCCAGTTCTATACAGGAAAAGAGAGATGCTAATACTGGGTTTTAGGGTTTAAACCCAGGCCAGCCTGACCTCTAAACCACTGCTCCTCCCTTTGTATAACGCCGCCACATTCACATACAGAAGGCTAGAGAAATGTCACAGAATTTGAAAGGCACCACGGATAAAGTCATATGTAAGAAGCATTTTTTGAGAAAAGGCGGGTGCTTCACTGCTCTACAGCAGGCAAAACTCTTAGGAGGCCCTTTTAGGACCAACATTTGTGCACCACGGGGTGGCCTCGGTTCCAACAAGATAGTAACAAGCCTTGTCTCTTCTTAGAGTAGATGAGAAGTGCAGGAATGCATCAATACGGCCACCCCAAATCCGCTTCCCACTTTGGGTCAGTGGCCCTGACATTTTCCTAGTTAGCCAGGAGTCATCGTTCACAATGGCCTAGCTTACTCAAGCCGCTTTATTTAAAACGTTGCCAAATCCCAGTGATTTTGCCACCGCAACATCTTACCCATTTCTATTCCCGCCACCCTAGGCAGACCTTTGTAGTGGATTCTAAGAGCCTCCTGCACGATTCTCCTCCTCGCCAACCACTCCTTGCTACCATCACAAGGCTACTAGATACAGCATCCTAAAGCACAGGTCTGGTTATTTTAAGTCTCTGCCCAAAAGGAGAGACACTTCCAGATTCCAAAGCTGAACCCTGAAAACCCTTGTCTGGGGCACTCACAAGATTCCGAGGGTCCTCTTCTAAAGTGAGGCCCCAGGACTAGAAAGCTCATTTTGTGGTTCTGGACACTGTGTCTTCAACGTGGAGCTTTTCTGAGGAACTAGCAGATGCAAGAGTTGTGCTTCCTGACAATCCGTAAGAAGAAAGTAAAACTGGCCTAGAGCTCAGGGCTTTGTGGGGCGGGGTGGGGGTGGGCTGCGGGGGAGCCGCTGTCCTTGTTTCGTTAAGTTGTTTGCTAGCGCCACCTGGTGTTAAAACTAAACAACAGTTCTAGACAAAAAGCAAGACCTTATTTTAAATGTTTCGTGTCACAAACAGAAGCCCTGGTGGTGCAGTGGTTAAAGCGCTTGGCCGCTAACCGAAAGGTCAGCAGTTCAAACCCACCAGCTGCTCTGTGGGAGAAAGATGTGGGAGTCCGCTTCCATAAAGATGTACAGCCTAGGAAACCCTATGGGGCAGTTCAGCTTTGCCCTACTAAGGTCGCTATGAGTTGGACACCCGGGCAATGGGTTTGGTTTTTTCGGGGTTTGAGATCCCAAATGAAGGATCTTGAGTACTGGGAGGAACACTAGAGATCATTTAGATAGCTGCTTCATTTTATACATTAGTAATTTCTCCATGATTTAGAGTCAGAACTGGATCTAGATTTCTTGAATCCCAGGTTCCTGAACTTTTCAACATGTCTTGTAGCCTCCTGAACCCCTAAAGGAATTGGGCCAGAATGATGCCACCTTCGGGAGGCAAAAAAAGATATTAACATTTATGCATCCCTTATTATAACCAGCTCTTGTGCTAAACCCATTTACAATCATGACCTCATTTCTTCTCCCCAGGCAGCCTGCTGTTATTCCTGTTTCGCAGATGGACGAAGTAAGAGAGAAGCTGAGTAACTCATTAAGGCTATATTATAACATTATAACATGGTTCATTCCCTCCTTGCCCTTGCCATGCCTTTGTGTAAGCAGAATATTCTTCCTTGCCCCCGTGGACTCTGGGCCTGGCCAATGTGACTTTCTTTGGTCAATGGAATGTTGACTATGCGTGCCGCATGAGAACGGCATGTCTTAGGAGTGGCTGCTCTTTCTGTCCTAGGTCCTGGAAGCTGGACGCAGCTGAGCTGAGCACAACAGAGTTGCAGCTGACCCTCGGTCAACCTGCAGCCCTCATGAAACGCGAGCAAGAAATAAACATTTGCTTTTTAAGCTCCTGAGAAGTTGAGATTGTCTGTTGCTGCAGCAAACGCTGACCGGTACAGGTTTTGTAAACAGTCTGAGTAATTCCAAAATCTCTTTGGAAACTCCCTGTAAGAAAGAACACTTGCTTCCAGCATGATGTCTAATTTATTCAACTTGAGAAACCACTGGGGGTTAGATTTTATGTTGCTGAGGTTCTCAACTCATTCGAGTCTTTGCTGAATTTCATTCTCTTGCTGAGGCTTATCCTGAGCACCCAATACAATTCTGCAACCTGCTCCCCTACCCCACCTCCTCAATAGTTTAGATCCCCCTCACCTGATCTGCTCTTTCTCTTCAAAAGCACTTGTCATCATCTGAAGTACTCTATAATTAACTTATTTATAATGTTTATAATTTAAATGTCTCCCCTGGTGGATTTTAAGAGAGATGGTTTTGTCTGTTTTGTTTACTGCCTCCTCTGGAACAATGCCTGGCACACAGTTAGTGCTAAAAAAAAAAAACAAGTGTTTGCTAAAGGAAGGAATGAAAAGTTTGAAAGCACTGCTTGAAGAGTAGCTGTTGTAGTTTAATAGCATGGCCAGTAGAGGTCATGAGTGAGCTCTTTAGATCGCTTGAATCCCTAACTTCTTTTATGTCTGTTTGTACAAGGATTTCTTCACTTTGATATGCCAGTGGTCGAAGTGGATTGCCACGTGATCAATTCAGGGGTGGCAACTGGCATAGCTCATGAAAACTGCTGAAAGGTACAATATGATGGGCTAGTCTTAGGAGCCAAGGTGGGGGTAAGAAACAAAGCAAACCTGTTGCCGTCGAGTCGATTCCGACTCATAGCGACTGTACAGGACAGAGTAGAACTGCCCCATAGGGTTTCCAAGAAGCAGCTGGTGGATTTGAGCTGCCGACCTTTTGGTTAGCAGCAAGCTCTTAACCACTGCGCCGTAGTAATTAGGATGCAAGATGGGACAGAAAGTGTTGGCTTTGAGGCCGTGTCTCTGTATATAAATTGCTTATAAATAAAAGTTCAATTCAGTCAAACAACCAGACAGGATAATAAATGCTTATTTTTCAATTGCAAAGCTATTTGCCAGGATTAACCCCCCGCCTCCTCCAAAATGTGTGTGTGTGTTTGCATAGAGATCAAGTCTGCTAATCCTTGGACACTTGACTGGCCTTTCCTTCTCTCATTTTACAACAAACAATGACAAACAAAGAATCAGAAGCCATGATTTGGCCTGAGTGTGGTTATTTCGCCCTGGCCCAGTAGTTCAGCCCTAAACGTTACGGCATCTGACCACATAGAGGAATGGGGACACTGGATCAAATGTGAATCTTTTCCTTTAGATTGCATATTGATTTTTGGACTGATTAGTTCAAGGATAAACATTTGAGAAAGAAGGAAATTTACTTTCATTGATTGCCTCCCACACATCAGGAACTGTGATCAGTACTTTTATGGATATCTCCCTAACTCCCTGAAGTGAACAATTATCAAAGACAGCACCTAGAATTAGTAGAAGCTCAGTAATTGTTGAATGAATGAGCTAATGAGTGAGTAAGTAGCTACTAGGAAGAAAGAGCTGTTGCTTTGCTTTGTTTTGTTTGAAGGGGTAGGTTTGTTGTATTTCCTTGATGGAACTAAACCCAGTTGTGAGTACAGGATTTTCAGTGTTCTTTATTAATTTCACCAGTAGCTGTCGAGTCGATGCTGGCTCATGACAACTCCATGTGTGTCAGAGTAGAAGTGTGCTCCATACGGATTTCAGTGGCTGATTTTTTTGGAAGTAGATCACCAGGCCTTTCTTCCGAGGCACCTCTGGGTAAACTCAAACCTCCAACCTTTCTGTTAGCAGCTGAGTGCTTAACTGTTTGCACCACCCAGGGACTCCCTTTATTCATTATAGGTGTCCATTTGCTGAGCACTTAAAAGTAGACATGGAACATGGTCTCTATCACAAAATACTGAAAGATTTGGATGGATGGGGATCTAAGATGAACTGATGTTGATCCCTTCCATCTTGTACGATGAAGATAATAATTATGTAACTCCTACAATTAGGGCTTCAGAAAATGTCATAAGAAAAAGATGAGACACCATGTTTGAAAGTTATTTAAGTTATTTAATAACTTAACTGGGAAAGTTAGTCCATAAATGAGGGTTTCATGGAAATTTTTCTAAGATGCCCGTGGGGGAGGGAGTGTGGCTAAGTCACAAGCTTTATCCAGCAACACATGTTGTCTGACGGGTCCTGTCTGAATGAGAGGATGAACAATACAGAACACTAATCTCGATGTCAAACACTACTTACACCTATTCTGCCCCTACAGGTGGTGTGAATTTCCAGGCGGAAGAACTCCATTATGTTGGAAAATTGGAGAAGGTGGTTTTCCTGAGCTTCATGTTGGTAAAGATCCAGATAACACAGTTTTTATTCTTTTATGAGCATTGTAGCCAGATAACCTCCTGTTGAGGTGCCATCCATACAGCCTTCAGTATGGAGACACCTCAACATAAAGAAAACAAAAACCCTCACAAGTGGACCAGTAAGCGACATCATGATAAATGGAGAGGAGATTGAAGTTGTCAAGTGTTTCATTTTACTTGGATCCACCGTCAATGCTCATGGAAGCAGCTGTCCAGCAATCAAATGACACACTGCATTGGGCAAATCTGCTGCAAAAGCTCTCTTTAAAGTGTTAAAAAGCACAGATGTCACTTTGAGGACTCAGGTGGACCTGACCCAAGCCAGGGCATTTTCAATTACCACATATGCATGTGAAAGCTGGACAATGAAAAAGGAAGACTGAAGAAGAATTGATGCATTTGAATTACGGTGTTGATGAAGAATATTGGACTGCCCGAAGAATAAGTAAATCTGTTTTGGAAGAAGTGCAGCCAGAATGCTCTGTAGAAGCAAGGATGGCAAGACTTCGTCTCACGTACTTTGGACATGTTATCAGCAGGGACCATTCCCTGGAGAAGGACACCAGGCTTGGTAAAGTAGAGGATCAGCGAAAAAGAGGAAGACCCTCAACAAGATGGATGGACACAATGAGCTGCAACAATGAGCTCAAGCAACAATGGCGCAGGACCAGGCAGCGTTTTCTTCTGTTGTGTGTGGGGTCTCTGTGAGTCGGAACCAACGCAACGGCACCTTGCAAGAACAACAACAGCCAGATAAAAGAAAGGGAGCTGAACCCAGCTCAGCCGAGCACAGCAGAGTTGCAGCTGACCCACAGCCAACTTGCAGCCCTCATGAAACACGAGCAAGAAGTAAATATTTCTTGCTTAAAGATAAATGTGAGGGTAGATTCTCTCGTGTGATGGTATGAGAGAGGAAACACACACCACTCAGCGTTTTCAGTGTGCGGCAGGTGAGATTGGAGAATGGGGAAGAGCGGCCATGTGGAAGAGTTTCCTGTCAGAGTTTTTAGAGACTCATTCTCACTGGGGAGCCCTGGTGGCACAGTGGTTAAGAGCTAGACTACTAACCAAAAGGTAGGCAGTTCAAATCCACCAGCTGCTCCTTGGAAACCCTGTGGGAAGTTCTATTCTGTCCTATAGGATCACTGTCAGTCAGAATCAACTCTCGATGGTGAGTTTGGTTTTCTTTTTTTTTGGGTTTATTGTCACTGCAGCAGCAGTAAAATAGGACTTCTTTCTACTTCTCTTTCTTTTCCTCTCTTACCAGCACTTAGAGCTGTAGGTGAATCAGGCATGCTGTATACGCATCACAGGCATAATCACCACACAGAACATAAAGACATCAAGCTTACACGAACAAATTAGAAGTTCTGAGCCAAATCCAAACAAATATATACCTGATAATGGCTTTGGCTGAAATATATTTTGTATATTTTATAGCATGTGCACATTTGCCAGTGGTTAACAAAGATTAAGCTTGCCAAACTTTAATGTGGTACAAATGCCAAGTTCAAGGCCAAGTCGGTGGAATGTTCCAGGATCTGGCAAATCAAAAGCATTATCAGCAGCTGTGGTTTTCAAATGCTTTGTGAGACTGGAGTAATACAGTACATGTGCATTTGGAGTGGGTATTAGTTATCCCACTAACTTGTTTAATATACCACACGATCACTGTAGTTTCATATGAATTTTGTGGTTACTTTTGATTAGCTGTGATAATGGCCAGAGGCCAGAACTGATCAATGGGTCCCTAGCTAATTCCCAAACCTTCATTAATGGATTGATTCATTAAGCTTTGTTGAGTGACTACTATGTTGAGAGTCACGTGCTTGAGTGCTAATTGTAGCCGATTACGTCACCCTTCCCCACCTGTACTTCTGCCAAGATGGCCACGAGCAAAGTGTTAATTTGATTTTCACCTTTTTCTATTTGTCACCTCTAGTGGACACATCTTTAGAAACGAAAAAGTCAAGAGGTAGGAGAATTGTCATAGGGATAATGAAGAAGTACAGCAATGCTAAGCTGTTTAGCCACTGAGCTCTGTTTAGTAGGATTCTGTACTATAATTCTGACTATCTGATGTCCAAAACCATTTGAAAAGTGACAGGAGATTGACATTTTGTTTGATCTAGTGACTTGAATCAATAAGGTTTCAACATGGATATGACCATACATGACGCAGATCATTATTTATCAATATCTTGGCTTCTCATTTTATATTTTAAAAGTCAGACCCACTTTCCATAATTACAACCCTGGATAATTAATTGCAAATTGCCTACCAGAATGATCTAAAGTCAGATGATCCGTGTAGGGTCAGAATTTACTCTGTTTTAGAAAGAGCAGGCTCAGAGGATCATGTTTTGCCTTTGGTGCTGGCGTTAGGTTTCAGTTACTTTCCAGAAAACGTGAGTGATCCGTGATTGAGCTGGGTTTACTTCACAAAATAACTGGGGAGGAACTGCCAGGAACCTCACGACACTGAATTGATTAGAGAGGAAAAGAAAAAAATCTGGATTATTAACGTATTGGCTATGCAGTTTCAAAAATATAAAGTAGCTTCATTAATCACACATATGTTTAATAACACACTTTATAGCTACCAAGTTGATTTAATCCCCAAAATTGTTGCCTAGTAAAAGTCCTTTGAAGATGTTTTTAATGCAGAGACAAGACTTGATGCACAGTTTGCAAATGTTAAGTCCCTCCACGGTCTGAACATCCAGGTAGTCATCATTGTTCTTCTAGAGGCCACGCACCTAGTTGGGCCTCATAAATGCTTTTGTAGTTGAAATCCTAAGAACAGGAGCTTAACCTGTTCAGTTCTTTAACCATTCTTCCCTAATCAGATTAACACATTAATCTGTATGGTTGATGAATAACATATTTGCTAAAATAGTTAAATTTTTAGCCATCTGGGCAAATTATTCTAAATCTAAATTCAGTTCAAATTATTAACAACAAGAAAATCATGTATTTGCATCCTCCTTTACTGTGAATAAAATGCTCTCCTATGCTGGAATTCTCTTTATCTTTTGGCATCCAACATTTTCCCACTGTGGATATAATCCTTCTGATGGAAAGTTGACATACCACTAGCCTGGGGCAGGCTCTTAGGGAAAAACTTGGGTAGATCACAAAAACTGGATATCTGAGGACAAAATAAAAATCGTACCTTTTTCTCAAAAGGGCAAAACAATGATGTTAAGAGTTTATCAGGGCAACAAGTCACTCTACTACAAATAGATATCTCCATTTTGTGTCAACATGTCACTGAAAAATAAAAAAATATGATTAGCCACTTCTTCTACCAAGTCACCGTAAGTGGATATGTCAGGCCAGCATGCATCTGATTGGCGCAAAGCATTGCCCTACAGAGTGTCCGCTACTGGGCTAACCTTCCGGATCATCACTGTGCAAGGCCGACTTCTGTCTACTCTGAGCTAAGAAATGTGGGAAGCTCATCACATTGATTGATTTTACAAACCAAAGCAGACAAGATGTTACGTAGAAATTGTCAATCATCATCTATTTTTGCCGACTTTCCGAGTGCCTGTGCCAATCGCCAGGAAGAAGATCACATATCCGCTGTATAATTTCTTAGCCAACAAGAATTTGCTGCTGTGGACATACTTTCATCATCCTGTGACATCATTTGAGAATTTTAAGGTTGGATAACCCAGAAGTAAAAGCATAATTTCAAAGGAAAAAAAAAAACAAAAACAGTTATCAGTAATTTGTCAATTTTCATAACTACCATTTGGACTTTTTAATTTAGTCTTCAAACATTCTTTTCATTTTCCAAAATATTTCTCATTACTAATTAGGAAGGTTTTGCTCATCATTAGCTGTAAATTTAGCAGGCAAATCTGTTCAGAAAGATAACCGTATGCTCTTTTTGAGTTTGATTCAACAGCAATAATTTTTTTTGTCGTTTTTATTGGCAGCTAGCTTTCCAGCTGTTTTCCAGTGTAGTAATACTATTTTATTCCACTTAATCTGAAAGACCTACACATCTGTGTCTCACATGTCTACTTGATCTCTTTCTGGTGTCCCCTAAGGGGAGGGTCTGGTGGACTACCGTATTTTCCGGCCTGTAGTCCTTTGGGCTATTAGAGCTCTATATTCTCTAATTCTATTGGCTCAAAGTCCAATGAGACTTCATTGATCATCAAAAGGCCTTGATTCTCCACTTTCCCATCTGAAACCAGCATGTCTCACCAATCTTTCAACTTACATAAGCTTTGCCAGGGCCAACTCATCCTCACAATAGTATAATTAGTCCTATTTCTTCTCTTCTTACCAGCTACGTTCCCCCCACCACTGCGTCTTCTCCAGAGACAAGAGAGGGTGTCTCACTAATTGTTATAATGATAATAACTGTTGTCAGTTGCTGTAGAGTTGGCTCTGATGCATGACGACCCCATGAACAACAGAACAAAACATGGCCCCATCCTGTGCCATCTTTATGATCGCTGGTATGCTCTAGTCCATTCTTGCATCACTGTGTATTTGGAGTGTCTTCTAGCCTAGGAGGCTCATCTTCCAGCATGTTATCAGATAATATTCTGTTGTGATCCATAAAGTTTTCATTGGCTAATTTTTGGAAGTAGGTCACCAGGCCTTCCCTCCTAGTGTGTCTTAATCTGGAGGCTCCACTGAAAGCTGTCCACCACAGGTGACCCTGCTGGTATTTGAAACACTGGTAGCATAGCTTCCAGCATCATAGCAACATGCAAGCCACTGCAGTACAACAAACTGACAGATGGGTGATCAAATGATAATGTTGTTGCTCTGTGCCGTTGAGTCGATTCTGACTCATAGTCATGCTATAGGACAGAGTAGAACTGCCCCGTAGGGTTTCCTAGGCTGTGATGTGTACAGGTGCAGACCTGTGAGGTCATTTCTCCCATAGAGTGGCTGGTTGGTTCTAACCACTGACCTTTCGGTTAGCAGAGAGCACTTAACCATTACCCCACCAGGGCTCCTTGGAATGATAATAATAGGTAATATTTACTGAGCACTTACTACAGGCCAGACAATCCAAGAACTTTACATGTGGAGCAAGAATGCTTTCTCAGGCCTAGTATCAACACTCCCTCACTGTTTCTATGCTGTCACTTCCATGCCACCGGGGCTGGGGCCCCAGGCTAAAAGTTCTCCTGAGGTAAGGTTGCCCGATTTAGCAACTATAAAAATACAGGATATCCAATTAAATTTAATTTCAGATAATGAAAAAAAATTAGTGTAAGTATGTCCCAAATATTGCATGGGATGTACGTATATTAAAAATTATTTGTTGTTTATCTGAAATTCAAATGTCACTAGTCTTTCTATACCTGTGGAAGTAAGCCACAAACTCCAATGTCCTCTGGCTTCTCCACACCAATCCAGGTGTTTGAGGCTGGGTCCAAGGAAGATCGGAGTAGAAAACAAAGGCATTGCTGTCTTCCTTCCTTATCTCCCCTGCTCCACTTTTGGGTTTTCTACTTCCTCCACCTCATACCCTTCTCTCTACCCCAGATATACTTAAAACTCTATGATCTAGTCATCCGGTCCCCTTGACTGGGTTTGCTCAAAAAGCCTGGATGTCAAGATTACTGTCTTGCTGTTGACTTAGAAATCTTATTTTGGGTATCAGAAATTAAACATTAACTTTTTAATTCTTTTTGCCTTCCTGCTGCATTATGGTATCCCTTCCTCATTTACTGGCAGATCCGTGACTCAGGATAATAGCATACCCAGATATATAAAAGAGAAATAGATGTACATTGATATATTTGTGAGAGGGAGGTTTTCCCCCATTAAATTATATCTTAGCTTACTGTCTGTCTTTCCTCTTTCTTCCCACCCCAATCTAAAATTTAATCTCCATGAGAACATGGACCTTGCTCTGGAAATACTGAAACTGTACCTGATACATAAACCAAAAAAGAAAGAAAGAAAAAAAACCAAACAAACCAGTTGCCCTTGAGTGGACTCTTACTCTTGGTGACATCAGAGGTGCCTCTAGGTGGATTTGAACCACCAACCTTTCAATTAGTAGCTGAGTTGTGCCACTCAGTGACACAACATGACACTTAGTAGGTGTCCAATGAATACTTATTGGGTAAATGAACAAATTCTCATTTCATACTGGGGAAAATGAGACTTACAAAGTTAGTTTGCCCAATTTGCAACGCAGATGGAGGCCTCCTATGCAGTTCTGACTAACTGCTGTGCCCCAGCACTTCACCACTACATATTTCTGCCTCTCTGCTGTCTAGGAGCTCATGAAGCCTTCCTGGGTGTTTTTTTCTCTTGAAACTTAGGTCCCATTGTGGAAAAGCAAAAGCATAAATTGCATTTCTTTACTTCTTCGGCTCAACCAAAGGGACTTTTCAACAACAACAAAAAGTAAAGGAAAACCTTAAGGGAAACAAAGGAAGAAAATTTCAACATAAAACCATCGTGTTTATAAAGTACTGCTTTATCAACCTACAAAACCAACAGATTCTGTTCTAGTCCACATCTTGTCTGAGGGTCCAGCCCAAATGCTCAATCTTGAGATAACGATGTCTTGAATAGGGCCACAGGTAGCCTCTAGGAAGCTTTGTGTGAGTTAGAAAAAGGTGCACCCTTTGCTGATCAGGCACAGCCCGTCCAGGATAGGCAACCTGGCAAGAGAAACTAAGGCTGAATTCCAGCCGTCATTCACTACCTTGGCTAGGCAACCTCATGCAGTGAACAATCCACACTACTGTAGGTAATGGTCACTTTCTTGGCATAGTTGGCTCTTGGACCAATATTTCAGCCATAGAAACTGCTAAAAATTGAGAAATCTTTCTTTCCTCCTTGTTTGTTTTTTTAACCACTTGAGTTAAAACAAGTACCTATGGGTATCATCCGCCAGATCCTTTCCTAGGAAAATTACTCAAAGATTTCCTTCCTTTCTGCATGTCCGATTGTCATCGTTAGAGTTCTCTAGAGAAATAGAACCAGTAACACACACACAACACAGAGACAGAGAGAGATTTACTTCAAGGGATTGGCTCACACAACTGAGGGAGCTGGAAAGCCAAAAATCCAAAGGTCAGGTGGCAGGCTGTAGACTCCTGATGGCTCACAGGATTGTGGTGACTCACAGGTCCAAAATCTGTACATCAGATGGCAGGCTGGAGACTTCTGCAGGCTTGTGTCCCAAGAGTTGTAGGTCAGGTGACAGCAATAGTGCAGAGTAGAGAGGGAGAGTGAATTCTGCCAAAATATCTATTTATAGTCGGAAGGCAGACCATGCCCTAAGGAAACTCCCCTTTTAACTGATTGATTGATATTATAGAAAGTGATTACATTGCATTACATTACATCATGGAACAGCAAATGGTCTAGTGTTTGGCAAAACCACTGGAAACCATAGCCTAGCCAAGTTGACACATAAAATTAGCCACCACACCAACCTGAACCAGGCATGCAAGCACAAACTTCCTAAGGACCTCCCACTCATGTCTAGTTTCACCTTTCTAATTCCCTATTGATTTCCAGGATAAGATAACCTTTAAGGCAGTACACCTACTCCTCACTTACTAACTATCTCATTATCTGACATATTGCATTTACAACAATAGTAAAAAATCTACTATCCGACTATTTTGCACATTAGTGATGTACATCTGGCAGTAACGAATGCTGAGGTGCGAGGTGAGAGTAATGCTGGCTGTGAGGGTTGGTTATGTGTTACTTTGGCTGGGCCGTGGTTCTCAGTGGTTTGGCAGCTATGTAATGATGTAATTTGGCAGTTATGTAATGATATAGTCATCCTCCATTGTGATCTAATGTGGTTATCCTCCATTTTTGCATAATGACCTGGTCTTTGGAACCTAACTATGTCGATAAGTGAGGAGTGGGTGTATAAAATAAATTGGAGGCAGAATGAATAGTGGAAAGAATACAGCTTTAGAACAAAACAGATCTAGGTTCAACTACACCTCTACCACTTACTACCTGTATGACTTTGGGCAAGATCTTTAATCTTCTAATGATGCAGTTTATTTATAAAAAGCAATAACACTTAACTTGTAAAGTTGCTACAAAAATTAAATATGTAACATATAAAGCACCTAGAAGAAATCCTGGGTTATGAGAACTTAATATTAATAGCAGCTGTTATAGATATAGTTTTGACTTCTGGACTTCTGGACTGGTCTTATGAATACAGGTTACTTACTGGAATTAGTGCACATATATGTTGTTGCTGTTGTTAGCTGCCTTCAGGTTGGCCCCTGACTCATGACAACCCCACGTGTGACAGAGTAGAACTGCTCCATAGGGTTTTCTTGGCTGTAATCTTTATGGAAGCAGATCACCATGCTTTCTCTTCTGTGGAGCTGCTAGGTGGGTTCAAATTGCCAACCGTTAGGTTAGCAGTCAATAGCAAACCACTTGCACCACCCAGGCTTCTTAATGGACATATTTAGAGAGGTCCTCAGTGGGCAAGAAGGAGCATGGTGGCATAAGCAGTTCGCGATTGGCTGCTGGCCCAAAGGTTGGTGGTTCAAATCCACCCAGTGGCTCTGTGGAAGAAAAGGTTTGGCAACCTGCTTCTGTAAAGATTACAGCCAAGAAAATCCTATGGAGCAGTTGTGCTCTGTAACACATGAGGTCACCATGAGTCGGAATCGACTCCAAGATAGCTAATAACCACAACAATGCAGGGAAGACGAAGTAGAAAATATGTAAATATCGAGAAAACATCAGACACTGGAATCAACTATTAAAGATAAAAGACTTTGTGTTTGCACGTGTCTTCGGGGTAGAGAAGAAAAAAAGAGCAGGGATACAGGGTAGATGGTGAATAGCAGTGATAGAATTTCATTATCCAGACTGACTGATTTTGGATTGACTAACACTCCATTTTACTTCACTTTGGAAACAGTCAAAGAGAGACAGAGATGTAATCAAAGTTTACCAACCTGAAGATAATTGGTGCAGTCAACAGTCCATTGTGTTTTAGAGCAAAAGGAGATATTAGAGAATCAGCCACTTGGTTTTGATGACAGAAAAACTCGAATTATAATTATTCTAAGAGTACCATTACTTGGAAAATATTTACTAGAGTAACATTTTCAAACCTCTTTGGGATTTAAAAGTGATACATTTTCTGTGGCACCTTTGGTTTCAGGGTATTGTTTGAAGAGCAATTCTCACTGTTAATAAAACCGGAAAGGAGAAAATTATATTTGTTAGTTCATGAAGAGAGATGTCTCTTTTGATCTTGAACTTTTCCTTTCAGGATATCCTCCATGGCAGCTGAGTAACTAAGACAATGCGATGGAATGCACGGCTGAGATGGTGAGTCTTCAAGTAGATGAAGGGTTATTATGTAAGAATCTGGTCTCCATTAAGAGTAGAAGAAGAAGAAATACGCTTGAATTGCAGAAGGAAGAATTTAGGTTAGATTCAAATACTCTGTGACTCTGTTGGTAATCAGTAAAATAGATGCTGAAGAGAGGCTAAGCAATACCATTCCTAAGAAGGTCTAAAAAATTATGAGAGAAATTGCATTGCTAATAGTTTTCAAAAATCATAGGGCCTTATGAATATTGTATCCAGCATCTGACATTTACATTACCATGTGCATTTTTCCAATATTATGCATTATTCTCTTTTCTAAATAATCCCTCTGATAATACACAATTAAATAAAATACATGTTTTTTTAAAAAATGATTGTAGGTTTTGATTAAATTGGTTAAATGAAAAGCTAATTTTGGTGTTGTAATGGCATGGTCTTAGAATTTTCCCACTGGAAGATTTCCCCTAAAGTTAAGCCAAAGAAAAATAGAAAATGGAAAGAGCTCCAAGTATTAAATTTAAGACCTAAATCCTTGTTTCCCCTAGTGAGAGCCTAGATTTCTTTGAAGATGGAGGCCGTTCCTTTTTTTTTTCCCCAAAAAACCAGGCTGTCCTGACTTCAAGGAACCTTCCTAATAAGGAGGCATTCACATGCTCTGTATTGTTTTCCAGAGTACCAGAAAACTTTTGAACTATGTTTGTGAGAGATGAACAGAAGGAGGAACGTCAGCCTCCATATTGATTGTTTCAATTGATTGAGGCCAGCAGAAAATTGCAAAAGAAATCTTCATTTTGCCAAGAAGATACTTTCAATGTAAGTCTATAAGGATCAAAATTGGGTGTTAAACAAGTCTATTTTCAGAAGTGACTTCATATCCAAAAGAATCTTGACAGCTAACAAGAACAAAAATGTTCAAAGTATAAATACTTGACAAATAACAACACAGGACTTTCATTTCTAGCAACATCGCTAACAAGAGAATCTGAAAACCTTCCTACTATAAATCACTTAGATATGCTGGGTAAAAATAAGGGATACATGCTTTTAAATGCTAATAAGAAAGTAAAGGAAATCCCCCCAGAAACCAATCTTTTGGCTGCTCTGAAATGTTTATCTATTTATTTATTTTTAGTATTTTATTGCCAGTCTGGCTAACAATGGCTTTGGCTTTTAATGACCGTGAAGGTGCAGGAGATAAATCTTTGGGCTGATTCGGGGCAGAAATTTGGAACTAAGATCTCAAAACTGTGTTGCACAGTTGAATGACTATGTGTCTGTGAAAGAGTAGAACTGAAAACATTTATACTGTCCCAAAGGGAGACTTAAGGGAAACTTTTCCTTGCCCTGATCTATTGATGGGGAGGAGGGGGAGGGAAAAACTCTGAGAATATGTAACTTCAGGCTGCCCTCACTCAGGTTAAAGGTTTGAATTTACACTATCTGGAGGGTCTAGATTTCTTCAAGAAAAGAATATAAAAAGCTGTCTTAAACTAGTAACTATACTGGTGCCCCCCTAACAGAAGCAATTACAAGCCTTCTCTGGAAAGACATTTCTCCAGCCCAGGCTGCACAGGATACCTATGGATAAAGTCCCACCAAACGTGAGCTCACAATCCCAAATTACAAAATACATGAAGAAGCAATCAGAAATCATCAGAAATAACAAATAATATAATGAGACCCTAAGAACTTCAGAAACAGACTATGAAATAAGTATGTTTAAAATTGTTAAAGGAAACACTGCTGAACTATTTACTAGGAGTAATTTTTCAGGTCTACAAATAGGTTGATTGTACACGCATTTTTTTCTTATGAAATAACTCAGGGCCAGAGTTCTACTTATGGACAAAACAGTGCTCCATGTTATTTTCAGACCACCCCCTCTTGTGTAGGTTGAGTTCAATGACCAGAATTAAACAGATTGGATGGGAATGCTGACCTTCAACTCTGAGCCACTGAGCAAAAGGAAGTTTAAATCTGTATTCCAGCTGAAGTAAAGCTCAGGAAGGAGACTGATTAATTCCAAAATGGTGAGAAGAGTGAGAACCAAACAAAAGAGAAGCAAGACAAAGCCAGTTAATTCAGGAGGCTGTGGTTTTCTCTACGGCAAAGGAACACAAATGCAGGTGACCTTTTATTAGTCACCTTGAGAGAAGCCTGGCTGGGGCTCTACTCATAAGTGTCATTTTAACTGTGAAGTGAAGCCAGACCCAGTGAAAGACATCTAATTTCAGTAAGAAATTCTGTCCACTAGCTAGGGTGTTAATAGATTTCAATTCCTGGAACTTTGCATATTTAACTGGGCTTGGTTTCTCCTGTATGTGTTCCAGGAACTTCTGTCCTTTGTTATGTGGGAGCTGGAAGCAAAACTGTCAGAGTCCTCTGTCTCAACTCATCACCTTCCAAATGAATGGAGCGGAAAAGTTTCACAGCACTAGAAGCGGACCTTGATGTTTCATCTTAATATGAAGTTTCAGGATCATGTCAGGTCTGTATACAGCATATCATGATGAAAGGAGATGTGCCAAAGTCCTGTGATGGTTACTTTCAGCCACATTCAGCTGTTTGGAATGTTTTGGTGCCTCTTTTTAGGATAAGGAATGGAATAGTCAATTAAATAAATAAAATAAACTCCAACTACTTTTGCTTAAGAAGCTTCCAGATTTGCAGATAGGAATCAGCTGTCCTCATGAAAAAAATTCAGCTCAGAGGTAAAAGCCAGACTAGCATAACTTGGTTGGGGATACTTGTATAACTTGGATGTTTTGGTGTTGTAAAAAGAAACACCTTAGTTAAATAGGAATTCTTTAAAGCCAGTTCTCATAGAATCTGGAAAATCATCAAGCAATTATTCTCCTTCCCTCGCTGTCTCCCTCCCTTCTTCTCTCTCTCTCTTTCTTCTTCCCTTCCCTCCTCTCCCACCTCTCTCTCTCTCCATCCTTGTTACTCCTTTTCTTTGAGTATCTGTCTTTGTAGACAACCTTTTCTTTTTTTTTTATTGTACTTCAGGTGAAGGCTTACAGAACAAATAGTTTCTCATGAAACAGTAGTACACATATTATTTTATGACATTGGTTAACAACCCCACAACACGTCAACCCTCTCCCTTCTCGACCTTTTTTTTGGTGAAAATACACATAGCCAAAGATACACCATTTCAAAAATTTCTACATGTACAGTTCAGTGACATCGACTACGCTCTTCCAATTGTGCTGTTATTCTCACTTTAGATGAAGGCTTACAGAACAAAATAGTTTCTCATTTAACAGTTAGTACACATGTTCCCCTATGACAATGGTTAACAACCTCACAACACATCAACACTATCCTTACTCAACCTTGGCTTCTCTATCACCAGCTTTCCTGTCCCCTTCTGTCTTCTGGCCCTTGTCCCTGGACTGCTGTGCCTCATTAGTCCCATTTGGTTTTATGGGGCTGTCCACTCCCTGGCTGAATGGTGAACCTCAGAAATGACTTCACCACTGAGCTAAAAGGGTGTCTGGGGGCCATATTCTTGGGGTTTCTCCAGTCTCCTTTAGGCCAGTAAATCTGGTCTTTTTTTTGTGGTTAGAATTTTGTTCTACATGCTTCTCCCGCTCTGTCCAGAACCGTCTGTGTAGACAACCTTTTCTACCCACCCTCTGCATCTGCTAAATGGTGACCTCGGACCCTGTGTCTACATAACCACCCAGTTCAGCTCCCCAACATTGACTATGTTTCCGCCTCAGTCTGTGTCAGGGGTTACAATCAGATACCTCTTCTAGTCTGAGGCAGGCATGGATGGGACAGAAATAATTGTAGTCTTGAAAGTTACAGAAAGAGAGTGAAATTTCTTTTTATCTCCTTGAATAAAAATAGAACTACTCTTTGCCCCATAGGAGAATTTTCAAGCTACCTTGTGTGTTTAAAGGCAGCTGGGCATCCCTGGGCACTCTGAGGTGATTCATACACATCCCTGTTTCTCTCAGATTTTGTTGAAGCTGGGTGTCTTTGTTTCAGCTCATGATAACTGATTCTCCTGGGAGCTGAGTGAGGCATTTTTTTCCTAACAGTATGGTAAAGGACAGAGGAGGAAGCATGAAAGAGAAGTGGTTACATTTAATAATTTATAGATAGAATTCTATTTTTCTTCCTAGTTATTTGGTTTTGCTTGGATGCATTCCTTTTTTCCAGCTTTAGAAGCTGACAGATAAAAAAGTGTTTGGACCTAAGTAGTCTTTTTTTTTTTTTTTAAAGAACAGGATTTACAACACAGTTTGCATATTCTGGGGAATAGTATATATATGTACACACACAAATATATATATATACTTTTTTTTTAAGGAATCTACACCTAATAAATTTTAGAAATACTTAATGAAACAAAGTTAAGCAGGTTCCTTTACTGCAGGACTTCTCAGATCCTTTAATATACTAATGGGCATTGTGACACTTTCAGAGTGAATTATAAATATGCAGGTTTCTCAAATTTACTTGACCATCAAAAAAGCATAGTCATGGAAGCAAACGCTTTTAACCTTGTTCCTGCCAGTGCATTTTCTACCGCTTTCTTGACCCGAAGGATTGTCCGTTGCTGTGTCTGTAGTTAGGATATTGTCTCTCAGCACCAAACCCTTCCTTCTATGATCCGCTTGGTGACGCAGGGGCCGAGACTCTGGAAACCACACTTTGCTTTGGTCAGCTGACTTCCCATTAGGGTGCCCTGGAGGGTGACTGGACAGCAGGAGGAGGGGAGAGGGCTTTTCCTTCTTCCTGCTTGTTGGCTGTTTCTAGGTGTCACCCCATGACAGCCTCTCACTGGGCAGCAGTAGCTGATTCTAGTCTTCAGTCTTTTTCCTTGTCCCCAGAACCTCACTGCAATCTGTCAGAGGTAGCAGAGGCATCCAAGTGGTGCCTCTCCTCAGAGGTCAGAGCCTAAGATCAAAGAGGCCTCTCCCCCAAGCTCCTGAGGTAACAGCAGGGGCTTAGCAGCGCCCCATCCTGACACCTACATCATAGCTCTGTGTGGCCCTTGACCAGTTTCTAGTTCTGTGAACTCCAGCCTCTACCTTTTATTTCCCCATGACTGACAGCTGCATTCTACATTTAATATCTCTGTTAACTCTGTGTCCCTTTTTGCTTTTCAGTCCTCCAACCCCTGTAACAAAGTTCTGTACCAAATTCCCCCTGTTAAAATACCTGGCATGGTATCTGTTTTCCTGACTGGACCTCTGTGGAAAGGAAGATACATGAAAGCTTCTCCACAGGAGTGGCTCTGGAGATGGAGGGAACATGGGAATGTGGGGAGAGGAACCAGGAGGAAAAGCCTGGAATGCTTTCCTTCGAGTGAAAGCAGAGTTTTTCGAACTTGAGAAATTTAAGTAAACTCAAAGGAATTTCGATTTGGACATTTTACAACCAACATCCCTTGAGATAATAGGAGACATTCTGGGGTGTTATGAAAGTAGAATCATGGATTCATTTCTCAAATATTCACTTAAGGTACCCAGCAAGTTTGTAAAAATAGGATTGAACGAATCCTTCTGCAGTGTTATATTTACCACAACTACAAACGACTTCTTCGGAGGTGCCTCAGGGTAAAGTTGAACCTTCAACCTTTGGATTTTCAGCCAAGCATGTCAACCATTCGCACCACCCAGGGACTCCTTGAAGTCCTGGTGGTCTAATTCCAAAAAATCAGTCATCGCAAACCCTGTAGAGCACAGTTCTACTCTGACACACACGGGGTCGCCGTGAGTCGGAATCTATTCCACGGCAACTGGGAGGAGACAGTGGGAATCGGTACAGTATTGGAATTGGGAGTAAATGCAAGTAATATGTTCTAAATGTAATCTCCAAAGATAATTTTTAAATACATAAGATAAAAATTGATAAGATAAATTGGTTTAAAAAATAACTGAGCCAAGTTTCTAGATCTCAAATATGGCCAATCATTAGAATCATTTGCAGCGAGTGGAGCAATGGAGATTGCTGAGCTTGAACACAGGCCCAAGGATTCAGACTCATCTGGGTTGGGACCCTGGAACTGGTTTGTTCTGGAAAATCTCATATGATCAAAGGGTTCTGATGAGCAATAGGTTTAGCTTTCATTGTTATAAAGAAGGTCCCTGGGTGGTACAAACAGTTAACATGCTTGGCTGTTAACCAAAAAGTTGGAGGTTTGAGTCCACCCAGAGGCACCTCAGAAGAAAGGCCTAGCGATTTATTCTGAAAACCCTCTGAAGCACAGTTCTACTCTGACACACGTGGGGTTGTCATGAGTTGGATCAACTTGACAGTAACTGGGCACTAGATTATATAAAATAATTATCACATTTTATTTTCTTCTTCTTTTTTAAGAACATAGATCTATAATTCAGTTTTTGTTTTTTAAACTTTTTTTTTCCCATTAAAATAATGAACTAGGGACACAGTGTTGAGTCTCTGTCTTGGCAGGAGGCAGTGAGAAAACACGGGGGTGGAAGAGACGAACGACAATGAAGCTTCCCTTGGAGGCTGATTTTTGAAGGGCTTTTGATCATTCTCCACCCAGTGTCAAAGCCAATCATGGTTCCTCAGAGCCAAGGCTGCCCTGGCAGGTTCTGTTTCCACGTGCACCACCATCTCTGTCTGGGTGCTGGGCGTGAAGGGGGCACCCCGGTGTCAGATGCCTGGGATGCTACAGTCAGAGGTGGGCCCTTCACCCATCAGTGCAATTTGTTTAGGTTGTTACCTTTTCGTGATTTTAAGATCACCTCTTACTTCTAAAAGAAACAGCCAAATCTGTCCACAGATTCTGCTGGGAGCATACCAACTGAGCAGAAAATGAAACAACCTGTCCCAGGGTAAGCAGAGAATCTCGTTTAGCTTAAGCCTGGGTCAGTTTTCTTGCTGTGTGACTTTGAAATGAAATATAGAGCCGAGGAGAGCCTCAGTATTTTTTAAAAAGTCTTGTGAAGAAGGTGAAAAAGCTAATTGTTTTCTAATTGATCCAATCGGCCAGTCACCCTGTGGAGTCTGGTTTGGATAATCTTGTTGGGTTACTTAGGATGGAATAGTGAGTCCTGGATTTGATCAGGAAATTCACCAGGCGTGTGGCTTTTCAATAGTGAGATCTGTTGACACGGAAAATCCCCAGCACACTGGGCGATTCAAGCGCACTTTTATAATTAGGTCTTCTCTGGTCTTTCCACATGCCGCAGGAATCCGTCACTTCTCTCTGAATTATGTGCTGCTCACCGCTGACGCTCATACCACCCCCTCGGCGAGGGCAACCTCAACGTCTTCAACTCACAGAACCCATTGTTCTGTCCGTTCTTACCCAGCGCTGTCACTGCGGCCCTCTGCCTCCAGCCGGGAGGCCAGGGAAACCACTCCCAGGAGAGCTATTTATCGCGGTAATAAACGTTCTGTGTTTTACTACGTTTCATCAAAGCTCACCTCCACACCAAAGCAAAACAATCCTTCTCTATGCGTTTCTTTTTTTTTGCATAAACATACATACTGCTCAGTGCGTCAACTTTTGTGTATGTATGAAGGGCAAACTTGAAGTTGGTTGTGCATCTGTACGCACATTACGTGGGGACGTGCTGGTATGTTTTCAGTGTGTGGGAGCCTCTGGCTGAAGGCTGGGCTGTAAGAGACACCTTGATGCCTGGTCGACCACCACCTGCAGAGGCTTCATGGAGACACAGCAACGGCTTAAATGTTTGCATTTTAAGGAACTACTCTTCCACGTCTCAGCCTCCCAGGCGTGTTGATTTTAATTGCTTCACTGGTTCAAACATCTCCGAAGACTGTACTAGATTTGTTAGCAGTCCCAGCCGGCTTCTGGCTTTCCCCTACCCCCTTGCTAGCCCACACACCCGAATTAACGGGGAACATTCACTGCTCCGTAATGAGGTTGGGATTCCTCTCTCTGGAGCCCAGGAAGACATAAAAGGCAGCCTCTCTTTATGTTAACATCAACTCCTGCTTTCATCGTCCTCTTTCTATTATACACTCGCTGCAGACTTACTTTAGGAAGTAAGCGAACATTACCCGAATTTCCCAGCCCATGCGGTCGTGCTATGCAGGACGCCAAAACAAAGCTGAACACACACACACACACAGACACACACACACACACACCCCGCCGTGTAGGTCAAAACAAAATCGTTGGGTATCGATTTTTGTTGTTGTTTGTTTGTTTTTGAACCTCATTTGTTCAACAGCATATTTAATAAAGCACATCCCACTTATTAATACTTTGTCCGGCAGTATTTAATGTAGTAACTCACACAGAAAGGAAAGCCCAAACATTTAGCCACAGATGTCATCAAATAAGAGAAGGTTTGTACTAATGGCCTATAATTTAACATTTAGGTCTTAAGAGATGCCCTGTTAAGAAAAACACAAGAGCTTATTAACTCATTTGCCCTCCTTATTAACTCTATTTTTGAATTGACTCAGCAAACACCCGATTAGAGTGATAATTTATTAGGGTCATACATTAGCTGAAAAGAAAAGAGAAACAAGAAAAGCTATCGCAGAAGCTAGCAATTGCCAAAGGCTTATCTTGTTTGAGTTAAATTAATGCAAATAAATTCCGGGACCTTGGAAATCATACACTGAAAATGGTTGAGACACAAGATAGAAGGAACCTGGGTCCCAAAAGTTACTGCTTGAAGGAACACTGCCCACTGGCCAGGGATACCCATTTACGTGATCAAGGAGTAAATTTGTGTGTGTGTTAAACCACTGAGACTGCTGTGTGGATATGTTACTACAACAAATAGAGGAAGCTATCCAACATATGAAAGCCTTCTTATTTGTGGCAAGTAGGTGGAGACAAGAGTCCCTGGGTGGTGCAAACAGTTAACCTGCTCAGCTGCTAACAGAAAGGTTGAAGGTTTGAGTCCACCCAGATGTACCTCAGAAGAAAGTCCTGGCCATCTACTTCAGAAAAAGCAGCCGTTGAAAACCTTATGGGTCGCAACTCTACTCTGTCACACAGGGGGTCACCATGAGTTGGAGTCAACTGAATGGCAAATGGAAAAAAAAAAGTGGCGATATGTCCCCACCTCCTACCATTGTAGCTAGAGGTGGCTAGATAATCCTTGTCCCTTCTCCTTGGTAGCAAGAGCACTGGCATGTGGCCTTGACCCAACCAAAAAGATGTTCCTGCCAGCGCTTTGACACTTGAGGGAGGGACATGCTTAATTATTTTTGTTTCCTGGTTTTGAACAAGGAGGTGTGACACTGTCTCCACAGAACTGATTTTCTTCTTAAATTCTAATATTTCCTGTATCCTTTCCTCTTAAATTCTTTTTGTGGCTTTTAATCCAACTAATCAAGTTGTCAACAGTCTCTAGGTGAAATTTCAGAAAAGTACTTCTGAAGTATTAGCTATATTTGTGAAAAGTATTGTGTCATTTCTGTCAAAATTAGGAGGTTCAGATTTTAAGGCATGCATAAACTTCTTAGTTTCTCCCTAGTTTCATGCCTGGCAACTGGTAAACTGTACATTTTTCTTTAGAACACTCCATGGTTTAAGCCAGTAGTTTTCACCATGTTTACCATAAAGAACCCCTTTTCTCACTTCTACCCTGTACAGAGTCTGTGTAGATTGGAAGATTTTTAATCTACTAAAGGCTTTTATTAAGTAATAATAAATTTGCTTTTTCCATATTTTGTTACTTCTCTCTTACTCCTCAACCTGGGACAAATGGCAAGATGGGAGGGTATTTCTAGTGGAGTAGATGTGGCTTAAGGAGTCCTGGTGGCACAGTGGTTAAGTGCTTGGCTGCTAACCTGAAGGTTGCCTGTTCTAACCCACCTGGCACTCCACAGGAGAAAGATGTGGCTGTCAGCTTCTGTAAAGACTTACAGCCTTGGAAACACCATGGGGTAGTTCTACTCTGTCCTATAGGGTAGTCATGAAATGGAATTGACTCAATGGCAACGGGCTTGGTTTTTTGGCAGACATGACTTTGACAAGGGTTGGTGGGAGTTTGGATTTTTGGCAGGCATGCGAAGTTTTAATTTTGGTGGACAATTAGAATTGCCAATCATGTCCCAAACAGTTTACTTTAATAACTGTTTTGGTCAGATATTGTGTTAGGTTCTGAGCATACGGAAATGAGTAAGATATGTTTTTACCTTAAGAGATCATATTCTAGAAAGGAGACATGTACACAAACAGATAATTCAATATGATGCGGCAGTGTCGTATGTAGGGGGTTGTAAGAGAACAAAGACTTCTAACCTAGGTGAGGGAGAGTCAGAGAGAGGATCCAAGAATGTTTCCTAGACGAGGAGAGGACATCTGAGCTGTACTTGAAGGGCGAATGGAAGTTAAAATAGAAATAAAATAATTTATTACCTGAACATGTGTGATACCATAGAAAGCAGATTTTAAAATGTCTCCTACACAAAAAAAGTTATTGTATTATTTTAATGAAGACGAAGTTCAGTCTCTAAACATTTACTTTATCTTTCTCCTATAGCAATGTCTCCTTCACAGCTCTAATCCAGGCAATCCTACTTCGTGGTCAGCTGTGAAATATTTAGAGTCCATGTGCTAAATATATATCACATTAACACTTCCCAGTGCAAGAATCCCTCTGTAATCCCAGCCCCACTGGCCTCATTCCAACTGTGAACATGGAACACCTGTAGGCCTCCCATTTCCCTATAGTATGGGGTGTAGGGCTGTCCTCACTCAAAAGGAAGCATAAAGGTTCACTGCGTTAGGATTAGAGCTGACTTCATTCATTCATTCATTCCACAAAGTTTTTGGAGTATTAACTATGTGCAAGCTACTCTGGTAGGTGTGGAGGAGACACAAAAGGTAAGTACATGTTCTGTCCTCATAAAGTTTACAGGCTAATAGGGAGAAAGAAGCCATAAGCAGTATACAAAGACAGACCATAAAATTCACAGTGAGAGAGAGCGAGTCAATCTTGTATACAGCTCTATTTCCACACTGAGTTCAATTTCTGGCACACAATAATTACTCGAGAAATATTTTCTGAATTGAATAAAAAGGTTTAAACAGTATTGGACAGAGGAATTATTTCTGATCTTAAATTCCCTGAGAGCTGGACTCCGGGCCCTCACCTAACTGGATCTTTAAAATGTGTTTCATTCCTCCAGACGCTGGTTCGCTGTCAGCTTTGAAATTCATATTAATCCTGCTGAGATCCCCGCCATCTTGCCTTATTTTGCCTGAGACTCTCGCCCATGTTTTAGGTTGAGAGTGAAGATATGCCACTTCACAGGAGCAACCATGTCTCAGATGTGTCTCTTGGAGCTTCCTGCTGATGGGGTGAGAGTCACTGCTGGGGCAAATACACCCTTGATTACTTGGTGGGGCAGATGATGCAGGATCTTTCTCTTTTCTTCAAACTACTACAATTGCTTCTCAACTAGTTCTCATCTCATGAAACTCATGAGAAAGATGAAGTCATCACCTAAACTTTAAACTTAGTATTCTGAGGAGTTCTGTAAGACAGATAGGATAGGAATTTGAATAGTATTTCTCCATATTCCATATCCCTTTCAGCATTTACCTTTTCGCACAGTGTTGGGGGCATAATAGTGCATTTAAAGGCGCAGGTTAGGAAAGTGCCTAAATGTGGTGGGTGGTTTTGAGGATAAGAGGAAATAGTCACAGAGTCCTTCCTAGTTTAGCGCGAGGATCTTCTGATCTCCAGTCCTCTTGACTGGAGTGAGGCTTCTAGCTTTACCTCTAAAATCAGTTCTAACACTAATGGCAGTGCAGTTTTTCTTCTTCTGACCCTAACTACTTGGAGTTGGGTCAGATGTTGTAGGTAAGGGTATAGTATTCCAGACTTCCAAGACTGCCCAGGACTTCAGGCACCAGCCACAAGTTTAGGGTCCCCAAGACACCCACACTTCTGACCAACTGGCTACAAATTTGGGGTTCCCTAATGTGCTAACAAATTCACGGAAGGGTAAGTCAGGTGTAATGTCGGAAAGAGAAGTCACAGTAGCCATGACTGGATTTATTACACTCACAGTTCCTGGAGACAGGGAGGTATAGCACACCATGACACAAGGCCACACGGGGGTTGCACCCGGGGACAAAGTGACAACAAGCTGGAATTGCAGGAGAGGGCTTATATATGGTAAGCACAGTGGGGTTAGCTAGGTTTCTTGGGCTTTCTGAGAAGTGGGCATTTTTAATAATTCTGCAGACTCTGGGGTGTAAGAGCTGTCCTTAGCCATAGGGTGCCTGGCTCCAGGGTTCATAGTGGCCCACGAGTGTGAGAACCTGATAAGGATTGTGGTTGGATAGTGGACTTAATCAACTGCTCGAGAAAGGGAATGGACCAGTCTCCAGCCAGGGCCTCAAAACTGGGTCAAGAAAGCAGTTAAAGAAAATGGTATTGCACCTAACCCCATCAGGACACCAGCTACAAGTACAGGATTCCCCAGGACATCCGCGCTTGTGAACTGCTGGCTACAAATTTGGGGGTTCCCCCCACCCACTCAGGTTTTGATAGTTTTCTAGAATGACTCACAGAACTCAGGAAAGCGCTATACTTATGATTACAGTTCTACCATAAAGGATACAAATCAGGACCAGTATAAAGAAGAGATGCATAGGCAAGGTCTGGGAGGGTCCCAAACTTGAGGCTTCTGCGTCCCCAGGGACACGTTACCCTCCCAGTTTATCAATGTTTATCACCAGCCAGGAAGCTCCCCTGAGCTTCAGTGTCCTGAGTTTTTATTAGGATTTCATTACGTAGGTATAATGGATTGACTCATTGGCCATGTGATTGACTGACTCTCCAGACTGCCTCCCCTGCCCAGAGGTCATGCTGATATTGTGTGGTGGGTTTTTCTGGTGTGTCCAGTCCCCACTATGAGTCACTTTACTAGCATAAACTCTCAGGTGTGATCTGGAGCCCTCCAGGAATGACAAAGACAGTCAGTCACTTGGGAAATTCCAAGAGTTTAGAGGTTACCTCCCAGGAACTGGGGAAAAGACCAAATTCTTTGGGTAAAATAATTTTTCACCTCACAACCTCTTACCATGAATGCTTTTCAGATCCCTTATACAACATTTTAATAGGGAAGGAGAGAGAAGTGCCACAGAATCAGGGGAAATGATACAGGACTTGTCTCAACAAAGTTGGATAACAAAGATAAAATTCCCACATGTTTGTCTAGAATCAGCCCTGGTATTAGGTGACTATTAAGGGCAAGGAAGACATAAGGAATCCTCGGGGAAAATCCTGGTACAGGGCCATGAGTGGAAAGACGCCAGACTATCCCTTCACATGCTGCTCATCTGTCTTTTAAGAGTGAACACCTAAACACAAGGAAGCTGAGATAGACAGAAGTCTACTCAGGATAGGTTTCCAAGTGTTTCATGAGACATTTTAGGGGAGAATTCATGCACTTTGAAAGTACTTTTGCTTTGCCTTTATTCATCATTTTCTCCTCTGAATTCTTACAGCCCTTGTAACCTTCGGCACACTATATATTCAGTATTGTTTCCTATATACTCTGTTAGCTTTATCTCCACAATGAATTGCCATTCAATGGCAGAGTTTGATTTTTAGAGCCACTCTATCTTGTAGAGGTCATTGTGGTTAGCTTGCCATCATTTATCTTGCCCCAAATGATTAAGATATGCACACCAGGGTCAGCAACTTTTTCTGTAAAGGGCCAGATGGGAAGTATTTTGGGTTTTGCCAGCCATATAGTCTCTGTTCTACTCTGCTGTTGTAAGAGAGAGCATCCATAGACAATATGTAAATGAATGAAGTTGGCTGTGTTTCAATAAAACTTTACTTACAAAAACAGGTTATGGAGCAGATTTGGTCCCTGGGCCGTAATTTGCTGATTTCTGACCTAAATCAATGGGTTATACCATTTCCCTTACCAGTGACTGGTCAGGAATAAGTATGTTTATGTTACCCAATCCTGGCCAAGGAAGCATGAGTGGCAATCTGTTGGAGGCTTTTGGAAAAAGCTCCCTTGATTCCCCGGGACCTTGTGTTGGGAGCAGACACCTTATTAACTGACTGAGGATGAACCAAAAATGGGAGGAAGAAAAAGCCCAAAGAAACCTACTCCATCGAGTAGACTCGGACTCCTGGCAACTCCATGAGTTACAGAGTAGAACTGCACTCAATAAGGTTTTCTTGGCTGTGATCTTCATGGAAGCAGATCACCAGGCCTTTCTACCATGGAGCTGCTGGGTGGGTTGAAATGCCAACCTTTAGGTAAGCAGTTAAGTGCAAACTGTTTGTACCACCCAGGAGGCTTGGCAGGAAGACAAGGCTGAGAGAATCACAGAGAGAAGTAGAGAGATGCAGACATCCCTCACCTGAAGCCCACTCTACTCTGATCTCCTAACTATAAAAACTTGTTGCTGTTGAGTTGATTCCCACTCATAGTGACCCTATAAGACAGAGTGAAACTGCTCTACAGGGTTTCCAAGGAGCGGCTGGTGGATTTGAACTGCCCATCTTTTGGTTAGCAGCCGTAGCACACCATAGCTCTTCACCACTGCACCACCAGGGTACCATTAGTAAATGTCCTTATTGTGTAAGCCAGTTAGTCTTTTTCCCTTGCCATAGAAAGCATACTAATTGATACAGTTACATCCTGAAAGAGGATGTTAAAATGCTACTAAAATGATCCAGGTTGAGTCCATGGGGGAAAATGATATACTTTGTATTACATTTCTGATGAAGAGCACAGTATGCAACTTTTTGCAGAAATGATCACAGCTGCCACATTGAATCAACTATAAATGATTTATTTATATAAAGTTTTTTAGAATGTATAGAAGCTGATCAATTAGGGCAGTATAGAGTCAGTTACTTCAAATTCAAATTAACATGTACTATATAAAGTTCTTGCCTTATATCCTCATAATTCCTACATCATTTTTACTGAGAAAGTATAGAAAATGTTCAAACAGGTCATAGAATCTATTATGATTTTTAGGAGACATTTTCATAAGACTCTTTGAAGAGAATTCTAAGGAGCTTTGGGCCCACATGATACATTCTTGAGACATCATTCACACCACCTCCTCCTTTTTTAAAATGGAGGCACTTCTGGGCTCATTTATTTATTCATTTTTTAAAATTACAAAAGTCATACAAGATCATCTTTAAAAATTCAGACAATACAGAATTAAAAAATAATGTTCTACTTTCATGCCCCTGAGGATATTAATAGTTATTTTCTTCTTTATCATCATTAACCAAGACGTGTTGCCATTGAGTGGATTCCAACTCATAGCAACCTTATAGGACAGAGTAGAATTGCCCTATAAGTTTTCCAAGGCTGTAATCTTTAAGGAAACAGACTGCCACATCTTTCTTCTGTAGAGCGGCTGATGGGTTTGAACCATCAACCTTTCAGTTAGCAGCCGAACACTTTAACCACTGTGCCACCAGGGCTCCTTTTGTTATCATTACCTTGTAGTAACATAAGCATATGTTTCAGGGAGTCTGCAAGGTCAAAACCATTTTAGTAACAACACAAATAATACTAAGACATTACATGCCTTTTTCACTGGGTTGAGGTTTGCACTGATAGTGCAAAAGCAATGGCGGCTAAAACTGCAGGCACCTTAGCATGAAACAAGGCAGCAGCACCAACATACCCTAGTAGTTATTGTATTCTTCAGTGCCATATGTCTACAGGAGAAAATAAAAATCCAGTTTTAATTAAGAATGTTCTCGTAGAAGCAGTAAAAATTACGACTTTTATTAAATCTCAACCCTGAGTATACAATGTTTTTAACATTCTGTGAAACAAAGTTAAAAGTACATATACAGCAATTGTGATGTACACTGAAGTAGGCTGATTGTCTGGAGGAAAAGCACTGTGCCGTTGTTTGAGTTGCCAGCTGAACTAGCCTCTCCTCTAGTTGAATGCTGTTTTTACTTGAAATGACAGACTACGGTTATTCAGATTGGGTTTTGGCAAACATTTTCTCTAAAATGAACCAAGGGAGGCTGTGACTTCAAGGAATGTTGCCAGTGACAAAACTTGAGCTTTTAAGTGAAAATTTGAATTTTGGAAAACTTGTATTTGTCCCTATGAGCTTGATAGCTTCCCAAGACTTACAGACACTTCTGATGAGATCAGTGGGGTGATTTTTTTTTTTCTGTTTTGGTTAGGAGGATGTTGCATCATGAAATATGCCAACATTTG